CAGCATGGCTTCCTAAAAACTCTGCAGGATTTCTCAAACATGCATGAATGAGTCAGAGCAAGGCTTTGAGCATGTTTTTTTATGAGAGTATAACATTATAACATGATATAAAACTCAAAAAAGTTGATTTTACATGATATTGCCCCTTTAAACTACAAAAAACAACAACTTTAAACAGAGGAGGAGCTCTCAGATTTCAGCTTTCTAAAACACGAGCATGAAGCCTGATGTCATTTCTCCTCTAAGTCACACCTTCATTCAGATGTTAAAAACATCTGTGAGTCAGGTAACTGAGTCCAGTCACCCTCAGGTGGGAGTGGGAGGGGAGTCGCTCTCCACACCAGCTGCACATCCTCAAACCTTCCCTGACCGGTCTATCATGTGAGGACCACCCCAGGACCCTTCAGAGACCAGCTACACCCTGGGTCCTGACAGTTCTGATTGTTCTTGTTCTGATAACCATGCAGTGTGTTACCTTACTGGTCCTGTAAGGGTATATGTGAGCAAAGTGAAAGTTCTCAGGACACTTCTCTATGGACCCGGCCAGAGAAGACACATTGATGACGGCCGATCTCCTGCAGGACATTTCATCCCCTTAAAGAAAATAAACAACTTGCATCATAACCTACAAATGCAAACATAGATATAACTGGTGTAACTCTGCGACACGATCATCACGTGGACCAATGGATTGTGCTTTAGTACATTTTTAACAGGGAAATGTAACATGCTTGCTGAAAAAAACAAAACAAGAAGCATCCAGAAGGGGTCTAATGACAACATAAACTGGTCTAACTGATCAGTGATGGATCTGTAAGTGTTTTAATTTAAAATGAGTTGGAAAGTCTAGAACCAGCACCAGAGGCATCATGAGTGGAACGATGGTGTTATCAGGCAGTTGCTGGAGTGTCTGAGAGTCAATCAGAATCAGCAGACAGAAGATGGATTGTAAAAATAATAAACTCTTAGTTCATTAAACAGCACTTGAAGGAGTTTAATAGTGGTTTGTTTTTCATAAAACCAGGTGGTCATAATGTGGAGCTTACAGATCCAACACAGGGTATAAAGTTTGTGATCATCTAACACCTAACAAAGGTGAGCTTGTTGTGTTATGTGCCAAAGATTACAGTAGCTCCCATCAGACTCAGAAAACATTTAACAAAGCGACGAGGCAGAAAAAATAAATAAAAGCCTCCACACCTTAAACCAACTTGTGATTATCAGTTAATAAAGACGGCATCTGAACCAGGTTTTGGCTGAACTGTTCATGAATAATCTGTGTGTGTGTGATTAATTTGTAGTGATAAATGTACTTTAACTTTGTTTTTTCTGTGTCTAAGCTGAGATTTAAATTCTGATGTGTTCATATAAAGAGTTTGTTATTGTTTTAATAAGCCAAACAATTGCTTTCATGTTTCTCTTATTGTTGTTTTCCTTATTCTCATTGTAAATTTTAAAGTGTTTAGAAATATTTACTGTATTTTTGTCCGGGTTGAACTTTTAACTTGTGCTAATTTTAGCGTCTTTTGTTAATTGTAGCTGTTTTGCTAATTTAGCTATCATTCCGCTCTTTTCTGCTATTCTTCTGCTAATTTCTACTTTTTTCTGCTTCTTTAAGCTTCTTTGTTAATTTCAGTTAACTAATAATTTCAAGGTCACAGCATAAAATCATGACCACTGGGTAGTTCATTTTTCTGCTGGTTGGCCTTTCACCATTATTCTGTTTTTGTTCAGTTCGCCTTTATTTTGCTTCTTGCAACTTTTTTCTTGTAGTTTAAGATTTTTCTACTTTTTAACTATGTAGCTAATATTTACTATCTTCTACTAATTTAGCCACATTTCAGCTCTGTTCAGTTTTTTGACACAGTTGTGCTTTTTATTTTAATGAGTTTTCAGTTTTGGTTTCCTCCGAGCAGAACTCAGCTACATTTAACTCACATTAACAGTTAGGAAACATTTTCAGCTTGACTTCAGCAGCTTTCAGCTGTAAGCATTCCCACAGTAAATAGTTTACCTTTGTCCTTGCTTCTGCTGACTGCTCTCTGAAGAAGCGGCAGAAACATCTGAAAATATATAAAATATAATCAGCTTCTTACATAAAAAAATCTAAAGATTTAATGTTTATCAATATTTCAGACAGATTTTGATGAAATTTTCAGGTAACTGATGTGATCCTTCCTAAGTTAGATTTTTGTTTTGTTTCCCAAAATATGTGCAATTTTCACATAAAACAAAAAAGGGAAATAAACCTACTTTTTTAACATCTTTAAGCTTCACACTGTTTTTCTTCACATACAGTACAGGTTGGTATATTTTGATCTTTTTTTCCATAAAGGTTAACCTTGAAAAAAGAAGGTCACTTCATAATTTTCAAGTTTTAACCTAAACCTAACCTAACTTTTAATAAAACACTTTTTACAGAAGTTAAATTTGTTTATGTAAAATAAAAACAGATCTGTGGCTCTTAGCTGAAGTTTTGTTGTGAGAGCATATTCAGTGCGTAAAGTCAAAGTGTGTGTAATAACAGTGAAGGTGAGACACAGCAACCTTTGTGAGGAGAAACGGTCCTGAAACGTTGACCTCAAACAATCCCCCATGTCTTAACAGCATACTGACTGAGTTTGAAGCCAATAGGTCAAAATCCCTAGGAGGAGTTCGCAAAAGTTCGACGTGAGCAAAATTGAAAATCTGACAAAATTTGACCTTTGACCCAAAATGGCCGACTTCCTGTTGGTTTTAAGACATACCTCCAAGAGAATTTTTTTCTTGATTTGGGGAGCTCTACCTATGTGCCGAGTTTCAGCTCTCTAGGACTTAGTAGTTCCTCTATCTCAGGTTAGGTGGCGCTGTCGAGTCATTTGGCCACGCCCATTAAAAATTCCAATGGAATCATGCGATTAATTGGGGTGAGTTTGAATTGGGATTCCCTGGAGGTCCAGGGGTGTCTCTGGCTCTGTGTTGGCGGGGTTTTGGTGCACCTTCCTGTGTATGGGGTGTGTGGTTTGCCCCCCTGGAGGTCTGGGTTGCAATTTGGTCTGGTGCTTCCCAGGGATGGTGACCCATCCCTGGGTGTGTTTCCCGGGTCTCCTGGGGCAACCTCCACAGGTGTCAATTAGCATGCATTGTAATAAAGTGAAGGTGAGACACAGCAACCTTTGTGAGGAGAAACGGTCCTGTAACGTTGACCTCAAACACGTCCATCATGTCACTCTTCCTGACGTTCTGTAGCGATGCCATACCATCTGGTTTGTTGACAGCAGCATTGTTGATCAGCAGGTTTAACCCATCAGGTCCGATCCGCTGACCCACTGTCTGGACAGCAGCTGAGATACTGTCCTCGTCTGCCAAGTCTGCAAGAACATCCACGTGTTCAGCTGCATGTGCACACATGCTGCTGTTTCTTACTGCAGCAGCTTCAAACACTCTTTAATGAAACAAAATGTGAGTTCCTGGTGAAATTACTTTAAAGGATTTAAGTTTTGTTGAAGACGTTTCAAATGTCATCTAAGGTGTTTCCTCAGCTCAAAACTGAAAATGTGCAAAACACTTCCTGTCCTTCCTCACAGCTGAACATCAGTATTCTGCATGAAACACTTTTAGATCAGCTGTAGCCTGTAGGGTGGGTGTGGCTGACATATTCCTCAATGTTAAAAGAGCTCTATAGTTAGTAGGAACATAGACCTTGTTTGATTAATTTATTGGCTCATAATTTATATTGAGGGATACCAGAATAAATCAATGTCACAAATTGTGTGTATTTTTGTTTCATTTAGTGGAGTTATTTATTGGACTGAATACCAATGCTAATTCCATAGATAGCCACTGATGCTAATGCTAATTTTACAAAGGGCTATAATTGTATACAGTAGTCTCAGAGAACAATCTGATGAAATTTAAATGCAAATACAAAATCCAAGATCCCCATCAACTTGTCAGTTATTTAGGGGTGGCCTCTGGGGTGGCCAATCAGGTGCCAGGATGGCACTTGCCACCCCATTCCCCCCCCTGGCTCCGCCCCTGTAGCAAAGCATTATTAATACTATTAATAACAGTAATACTGAGCCCAACCACTGTTTCTTAATGCCAGAAAATTAAAATTTTGAAACAGTTACAGTTTTGTGGCATGTTTGTGAATTATTCTTACAAAAATGAATTCATAATGCTTGCCAGAGTTTTTATTCAGTAAATCTTAAAAAAATAAAAAAAATAAAAACTGGAATCAGCAGGTCAGAAAAGTGCTTACTGCTTTTACTGATCTTTAGATTTTAATGTTTAAAGAGTGTGTTTGGTGATAAGATGTGTTGTTTACCTAATTTGATTAATGTAATTTTTCCAGGATGTTTTAATGTGAGCTCTCTCAGTGCCTGTCGAACAGAAAAACATGACATACACATACACAAAATGATCAAATGTCAAAAAACTCATGCGGTAGGTTGTTAGAGACTTTGTGATAAATCTGTTATTCTTCTGAATCTGGCTGCTCACACAGTAAACACTGGAGTTATCACAGTATTTAATAAATTACTTGATAGCTCGAGTTGAAGTTGAACTGTGAAAGGCAAAAATCTAGTAAAGAATAATCAAAATAATCTGTTGTATTAATTTTTATACAGGAATAAATAAAATATTTATAGAACTAGAACCACGGAGGGAAAAAAATATGTAAATATAAAGAAAATGCCTGTTAAGCTGAATAAAACAGATAAAACATATAATTTCAGTATAAAAATAAAATAATGTAAAGGTTGTAACTTAAAAAAGTTTAAGTAATTTGAAAGAAATGTTTTTATTTATCTTAGTTTTAGTTAAAGTTCAAAGTACAATGTTGACAGTACATTCTGTCCCATCAGCCCCTGAAGCCTTCACCCAGCAAACTGCAGTTTGACCTGGAGAACCACAGACAGGTGCTGGAACACCTGCCGGTGCTTTACCTGGGCCGTGGTGCCTTCAGGCTCCCTGCAGCAGGCGTAAATGTGAGCTTCTACTCCCGTCTTCTCTGCCAGCTGTCGGACCAGTTCCAAGCCGATCCCCCTGTTGGTCCCAGTCACCACGATGTGGCCTCCCAGCTCCACAGACATGTTAGCAGGTCAGACCCTCACTGCTGCAGTGAGTGAGTGAGTGAGTGAGTGAGTGAGTGAGTGAGTGAGTGAGTGAGTGAGTGAGTGAGTGAGTGAGTGATTAAAGGATACTCCTGTTTCAGGTCATGGAGCATGTGTTGAAGTCAAGGTCCGCAGGACAAATATGGCCTGAGGGTGACGTCCATCCGTCTTGCCAATGAGGCCCCGCCCCCTGGGACATATCATGCAAAGTCCACTTTTTTAGCCTTTAAATGTTAACCTGTTCAGTTTTCTCTATTTTCTATGATGTTTCTATTACATCAAACTATTTGCAACAGAACTAAATAAATTCTGAACTTTCCAACTACACTTTGGTGGTCTTCATTCTCCTCTGGTTCTGGGTCAGACTAAGGCTGGATGGACAAGTCTTCTCTTGTTCATGTCTTTTAATCCATTTGTAAATAAAAGGTTTCTGCGCAGCTATATAACCATAAACCCCTCTTTCAAACCAGAGTGAGCCGGTCAAGCTGGAGGGGGGCGGGGTGTGAAGCACCTTGTTTGGATTTAAATGTGCAAATTTCCCCACTGTGGGATCAATAAAGCCTCGCCTCGCCTTAAAACATAAAACGTAGGGGTCAGCTGTGGTGGAGTGGTTAGGGGAATCGTCCTGGAACCGGAAGGTCACTGGTTCGATTCCCCGTCCAGCCGTCTCAGTTGTTGTGTCCTTGGGCAAGACACTTCACCCACCTTGCCTACTGATGGTGGTCAGAGGGTCCGGTGGCGCCGGTGCATGGCAGCCTCGCTTCTGTCAGTGTGCCCCAGGACAGCTGTGGCTACAGTGTAGTTTGCCATCATCAGTGTGTGAATGTGAGTGTGAATGGGTGAATGTCTGTAAGTGTGAAGTGCTTTGGGGTCCAGAGGGATTTGAAAAGTGCTCTGTAAGTTCAGTACCATTTATCTTCTCATCTTATCTCTCGTATCTTATCTATCTTATCTTATCTCTCTTATATTACCTATCTTATCTTCTCATCTCATCTTACCTTATCTTCTCACCTCATCTATCTTATCTTCTCATCTCATATTATCTATCTCATCTATCTTATCTATCTTATCTTATCTTCTCATCTCATCTATCGCACCTCATCTCAGCTATCTCATCTAGCTTATCTCATCTCATATATCTTATCTCTCTTATATTATCTCTTATCTTCTCATCTCATCTATCTTATCTTCTCATTTCATCTTATCTATATCATCTATCTTATCTCTATTATATTATCTATCTTATCTTATCTCATCTTATCAAAGAGATGGCCTCAAAATGAGTTGATCTGAGACACACCTCAGAAAATGGGCAGGGCTTGTGGAGTTACAATGAGTAGGAATTAAGACCAAAGCATTGTTCCACTTTATATAGACTCCAACTGAAGGATTTAAATGTGAAAAAGAAGGATTTAAAATCAGTCTCCTTTAATTTAATATAAAAATAGATTTTAAATATACTGTAAACTTTTAATTTATGATTAAATGCAACAAAATAAACAAATTTAAAAGATAAAAGATAATACTTGTTTGGCCTCTGAGCTGTTAAGCTTTGAGCAAATGTGGCCCCATGAGCAATTTAGTTGATTAGCTCTAAAATAATGTCTCAAAATAAACAGCTTTAAAGCCAGCATTGACCATAAACTACATCTCACAACTTAAGTGAGTAAAACTCTTTATTTTTACTTTTAAAAGTATTTCTGTATTATTTATGTCACATTTAGTCGTTCGTAGTACTCATCAGTGTTTATAAGAGGATGTACTAAAACACTGTTTCTATGCAGGAAACACCATGTAGAGCTCAGTTATTAATTGTTAGTGGTGCTCAGTCATAGCAAAGAGGAATGTGATATTTCATGTTTAGTCAAAGTTAAACACAAAATGTTGAAGTTATTTACAACTGTGCCTTTAAGGACCACCACGTGGCTCATGTGGCCCTCAGAGAAAGTGAGTTTGACCCCTGCTTTAGAGGTTTCACTGCTCCAGCCCACCTGATTTAATGACTGAATTACCTCTTCAAGTTCAGCTGAAACCCATTAATCACCCATTTCTTCAAATGTGGAGCAGAGAAACCTCTAAAACCTGCAGGATAGTGGTCCTCCAGGACCAGCATGAGACACTCCTGTATAGAGAGTATATGTTGATAGTGAACAAGAAGTAATCCTTTCATCACTTTGTGTCAGCATGAACCTTTTAACAGCATCTAAAAAACTCCATCATTTTTGAACACAAGACAATTTAAACTAAGAGTTTGAGATCCTTTTAGAGCTCTTGTTGAATTATTGCATTTTCTATTAATTTTACTGAACATTTCTGTTTTTTATCTGTTCATTTGACTGTATTCTGAAGCACTTCTGTTGTTTTTATATATAGGTGCTGGTCATAAAATTAGAATATCATGAAAAAGTAGATTTATTTCAGTAATTCCATTTAAAAAGTGAAACTTGTATATTATATTCATACATTACATACAAAC